GCACATCGCGCGCGACAGAGCGAAATGTCGCTCTCGCTTCGGCGCCGCGCGCATGTTTTCTGAAAGTTGCGCTACCGCTAAGGCGCGGCGCACATTTTTCGGTCGCCAATTCGTCGAGCGCCCAGGGCCCCCTGGGGCCTCCCACGGTTTCCTGGGACATCCTGGGGCTTCCCGGGGCTTCCCCAGGGCCTCGTGGATCCTCCTGGAACCTCCTGAGGCATCCTGGGGTTTACTAGGACTCCCCGGGGGGTTCCTGACACTTCCTAAAGCTTCCTGGAGTCTCCTGGAATTACCTGGTGTTTCCTGGGCCCTCCTGAAGCCTCCTGGGGGTTCCTGGGGGTCGCTGGGGCTTCTCCTGAGACCTCCTGGGGCCTTCTGAGGCTTCCTGGGGCCTCCTCGGCTCGTGCTGAAATGCCAGCGCAATCTTTGAGACGCGCCAGGGATATCTTATCGGTAACTGCCATCGCGGCTGCATCAGCTGTGGCAAACCACCTTGCCGATCAGATTTCGGTTCCCAGTTGCGCCAGCACTGTTTCTTATGTTGTGGGAGGGCGGGCGGGCATGGGCATACCATGCTTGACTCGCTCGAGCTGGCTAGCTTGACTCCTACATATACTCCTCCTCAGTTTCTTCTTCATCATCAGCATCATCATCACCAGCAGCATCATCATGACACTGCTCAAGATTCCTCAATGCATCCTGCTTCTCCCCACCCCTTGCAAATTTCGTCTTCGTGCACCCTTCATAATTACTCGTTACCATCCTCCTGCTGCTCCTCATCGCTCTTCGACCGTCATCTTTCATTCGCTTCTTTGCCATCCTTCTGCTCACCACGCGAGGCACCAGCCGCATCCGTGCCAAGCTGGCCCAGCTCCTCCCCTTCTTGCGATGATGACATGGGCCCGATGCGTCTCCGCCATGAGGGCGAGCCACTGCCCGAACTATCCAGACGGCCGCGGCCGGCTGCTCCTTCGCGGACACCTCGGGCAGAGAGGCGCCTAGTCTGCCCGTGGAGCGACATCCGTCGGCAGCGGCTGGAATCGTGGCCGACGAATCCCAAGTGCTGGCGCTCGGCGCCCGCAATGCGTGCACAGCCAGGGTCCCGGCTCTCGTGGACCGCCCTCGGCACGGTGCGCGCTCCTCCCCCCTCCCACCGCCGAACCTGTCGCGCGAAGACCAGCGGCCCGGCTCTGGGCGACGCGGCCACTTCTCCAGGGGCCAGCCCTGGCACGGGCCCAGCACGACGTCACGAGGGGCTCGTGCGCAGGAAGGGGGACCAGGGAGCCTGGTCCCCCCGGGATCCGCAGGATGTGGCCGAGGACCGTGCCCCTCCAGGGACGCACGGCAAGACCTGTCAGTCACACCCTGAGCCATAGACGGCGGTGGAGAGCAGGAGAAGCGGCGGAGAGTTGGGCACACAAGCACAGCTTGGGGAGGATCGGCGCTGGTCTGCTGATGAGCGACGACAGAGTCCATGCGTATTCCGATCAGCTGGTCCACAAAAACTCCGAGGCGGCATCAGCACGAACCTTTGGCCCGCCGTCGTGTAAGGAACACTTGCCACGGGCTGTGCCCGGCAGCGCTCAGGAGAGGTGGGGGGGTGCAAGCATGTAGCAGGTAGCACGACCACCCGATGAATATTTCACACGGCCATGGGCGTTGCAACCAGACGCATGTCACCCACAGGTGCGCGCTGCCTACCGGCGCGGTTGATCCTGCGATCGGTGCCCATGCGTCTGCCACGACGCCTTGCTTGCAACAGTAGGCGTGCGCCGAACCATGCGTGGCTCCCTGCGGTAATGAAGCCGCTGCTCTCCCCGCGAGGAGGGAGCGGGAAGGGCAGAGGCCGAACAGTGAGGTCCGGCGCGAGGTCCCTGGAGGACGAGGCGACCAACTTGCGCAGCACGAGGACCAGCTGCAGGAGGAGCGGCGGCCGAGGAGGAGCGGTGGAGGAGGGGGGCGGGCGTAGGATGAAGGCGACAGAGGGCTCCTCCACTGAGGCGAGGAGACTCTCGGTGGCAGCACCTGGGCCGGTAGGGCAGCACCTGTGGGGCACACACAGGCGAGGAGAGGGGGACGAGGGGCGAGGATGGGCGGGATGCGGGAGAGGGGCGATGGGGCAGAGGGCAGAGGCAGAGAGCCCGCGGCTCGGGCGGGACAGTTCGCCCTCCGTCGCCGGCGCATCGCGGCGCGCAAGAGGCGGACGGCAAGAGCAGGCACCTGGTGGCCCACCCGGGCTGGGCTGTTGTGCGGTGCCTCGGGGTCGAAGCCTGAAGGTACGGGCGTCGCGCTGCCGCAAGGAGTACGGAACAAGGAACGGAAGGGCTTCTCTGGCCACGGCGAGCCTCGGCCACAAAGGGGCTCCCTGGCCCAGATCCAGGTCGAAGGAGCGGCCCAGGAGCCAGAGCCCCTCGAGAGCCCAAGGTGATCCCTGTTTCGGCGCATTGACTGTAGAGACCGAGACGACGACGACGAGGGACGGGGAGGAGGACCGTGCAATCTTGGTCGAGGATGAATAAGGGGAGATCACTGGGGGGACTGGAGAGGGCAGGGAAGCCGCAACACAGGCGAAAAGCTGAGAGAGAGAGACAGGGAGGTGGTGAATAAAGAAAGGAACGGGGCGGAAACACCAAAAGGAAACAAAGCTGAGGTGCAGGACAAAAAAATGGCTGGGGGCTTGCGTGGAGCCTTGAAGCTGAACCGCTTGATGAGCGCCAAGACATTGGGGCCCTCCCCCTAGTCAGGTATCATGATGCTGATTACTCTGTCTCGTCCTACTACCACTGCTCCTTCCCTCATACGAGCCCCCTGTTTGACCCACCTCTATCCTGCTGAGATCATCCTTTGACTACTGCTGATGATGTAACTGCTGCTACTGCTACTGCTACTGCTATTCCTACTGCTAAATACTGCTACCCCTACTGCGACTGACACTGCTGCAGACCTTAATGCTACCCAGATCCGCCACCGTGCCTCTGGAGCCTCAGTCCTCAGTGCTGAGGAGTCCTAAGGGTTCCGGACCCCAAAGTCTCGAATTGACCTTGGCTTCCCGCGTGCCCCCTGGGCTCTCGGAAGTGTTCCCGCATGACTTCCAGGGCCAAGACGGCTCCAAGACAAGCCAAGAAGGCCCGACGAGGCCCCCAAACGGTCCAAGAGGGCCCCGAGACGCCCAAAGATCGACCCAAGACGCTCAAGATGGCCTCACAACGGCCCAAGAGGCCTCCAAGACGCCCCAAGAGGCCTCCAAGAGGCCTCCCAAGAAGGCCCGAAGAGACCAAAATCATTGATTTTCCTTTTGGTAGTTTGGGAAGGATTTGGGTATTCTCCACTGTTCGGCTTTCCGAAGCTCCAAGACGGCCCAAGAGGCCCTCAAGACCACCCCAAAACTGCTAAAGAAGCCTCCAAAAGGCCCCAAGACGCCGAAGAGGCGCCCAAGACGGCCCAAGAGGGCCCCAAGATGGCCCCAAAAAGAACCCAAAAGAGGGAGCACGAACCGAAAATCCGAGCCTTCCGCCCCACGAGGCCCCAGGGAGGCACCAAGAGGCGCCCACGAGGCCCCAAGAGGCCCCCACCCCAGAAGGACCCCAACAGGCCCTAAGAGGCCCCCAAGATGCCCAAACGAGGCCCCAAGAGGCCCCAAGAGGCCCCTGAACGACCCCCAAGAGGCCTCCAAACTGCCTCCTAGAGGCCCCCGAGAGGCCTCACACGAGATCCCAACGAGCATCCAATAGGCTGCGTATCCACAACCCAAGCACGGTGGCGGGATGGGCCGAAGACAATCAAATAGCAACGGCGCCTACCTCGTATCACTACGACTGGGAACAATTACGTGCACACTACTAAGTACGTTACTTTACTTGAGTGTGCCACAACAAATCCTACGAACGAAAAATTACTGCGATTGCTTCAGCCTCCGATCCCGAGATTATTGAACTGGCCCGCCGAGCCAGATGTCATACAATATGATAGTGGCTCGTCTCACACCTTAATCGCATACTCCCAAAGCTGCCCTGCGTGAAGCAAGTGCTCGGGCTTCACTTTGCGCGTAAGGCTACTTCAGCTCCAGTTCATGATCACTCCGAAACATTACTGCCACATGTATTACTACACCGTGTAGCGACGCCCCAAACAATCAGGCGCAAATTATCTCAACATGCGGACCAGGGCAACAGCTGGGGCGCGACAGAGCTAAATGTGCACCAAATCGATGAGAATATCCTACGCAACAGCCGGCACGCCAGACACGGGCAAAGTGACTTTGGAGGTACCAAGCGCGCTCGGACGAGAGCTTATGTTCCTGTGGTGTTCTCGCTCCGCCACCACGACAGCCTTCGCTGTCTTGTCGCTCCACCCTCCTTTCGCTGAGCGTGTGACCCTCTTGACAAGCTTGACAGAACGGCGAATATCCTCTCAGAAGAAAGATGAGGAGAAGGCGGCGGAGTTGGTTCTCGCCACTACCACATTCCATCCAGCCCTCAGAGACGGTGGTTTAGCGCGTCCCGTCGTCCAACCCCCTTCCTCCCTTCGAGAAAGTGCCCCCCTCCCTCTCATAGGCGTCTGGGCGGGGCGGCGGCCAAATAGAGAGTCAAAGATGGCCCCAGATGACTCCAAGACGGCCTCACATAGCCCAGAATGGCATACAAAATGACGCAAGATAGGTCAGCATGGCTCAAGATGGCTCTGAACATGCCTCCACAAGGGTCCAAGACTGTCCCAAGACGGCTCCAAGACGGTTACAAGTGGCCACGAAGCCTCACAGGGATACCCCCCAGAGGCCAACATCGCTTCAGAACCTGAAGTTGTTCGATGGTGTTTCCTTTCTCTCCTGTTCTCTTCCGATGGGCTTCTGAGGTCCCAAGATGGCTTCAAGATCGCCCAAGAGAGCCCCAAGTGGGGCCCCGAGGGGCTGCAAGACGGCCCCGCAAGACCCCAAGAGCGCTCCTAGACTGTCTTAAGAGGGCTAGGGGCGATGTGGCCTGCTCCAGAGGGAGAAATACTGATTCGCGCCAGCACCTGCTTATACGCAAACTCGTTGAAGAGGCCAAGGTGATCAGGTGATCGAAGGATGTTGGCACTTCGGGGACATCATTGGGATGCTTTTTGGGCGAAGACGACGGCAAGATGGCCTGGCTTCTGGTGTCTCACGATGGACTACATGATGGCGCAAGATGTTCCGAGTTGGCTAACGATGGCCTCCAGCATGCCTCCAAGAGGCCCCAAGGAGGCCCTAAAACGGCTCCAAGCGGCCACGGAGCATTCCTTGGACGTCCCAAAAATCTTACATTCTTAAAAAAATACAATTGCGCCTTCTCTCTTCCGATAGGTTCCTGAGATGGTTCCCAGATCGTCCGAGAAAGCCCCAAGAGGAACCTATAGAGGCCCGAAGAAGGATCCCAACAGCGCCCCAAGACCGCCCCAGCAGCGCCCACAGAGGGCTCCAGAAGACGATTGTTCAGGCCCGACGGGGCAAGGTTAGTAACGCCCCCATGTTTGATTGATGTTCTCCCAGGTGGTCCCAAGAGGACCCCCCATGCTCTAAGCGAAGCCCTAGAGAGCCCCAACGGCATCCAAAATCCGCCGACTCTCGGAGTGTGTGAGGGACTTTTCCGTTCGAGTCGGTCGGGCTTTTCCGCTGGAGCCGTCTGCCTGGGCCCTCTTCCTCATAGGCGCCGTCTAAATCAAAATTGAACAGCATGGGGGTGGAATCGAAGGGAGGCCCCTTCCCTTTGATCCCTTCCCCGCGCCCGGGGGGGGTCCCGGGGGGGTCCCGGGGGGGTCCCGGGGGGGGTCCCGAGGGGGGGTCCCGAGAGGGGGTCAGGGGGGGGAGTCGCCACCCAAACACGCTTTCCCCCCGCGCGATTCCGAAACCTTCGCGCGGTCCCCGCGCGGTCCCGAAAGCCCAAAGAAGACCCCAGGAATTCTCCACGAGATCTCCGTCGTCTCCCTTCAGGGTCGGCGGCTCCGGTAGTCAGGCCTTCGCAATCGACCCGACAGCGCCCAAAGATGGTCACAAGAAATCTTCACGAGGCTTCCGAACATAAAGATCCATAACAGCCTGTATGGTTGACTCCTGGATTTGCTCAGGCTGATTCCAGGTTTGGGCTTGACGTCTGCCACTCTTTGTTCGATTGTATGCTCATACGTGTCCCTGATCAGGCCAACTCGTCTGGGGATCGTTTCTGGATGGGCTGGTGGGGATACGCGCAGCGTCACCAAGTTTTGGCATGGCACATCAGACGCAACAGCAGCATCGACAGCACCATGGTCCTGACGGCCAAAACTACGTGTACGTCTCCCCTCCCCTGTCTCGTCATCCAGAGGCAAGAGAAGCGGGAGGAGACCATGAACGCAACGTCCTCCTATGCTCCCATGACCCTCCCCATGTGCGCACGCGCATCTGAACCACGGTCTCTCCAACTGCACGCACGTCTCCCGGCCATGGTCTCGAAGATCATGCACACGTGCTGGCCGTTCGGCCCGTAGTGCGTGAAGTAGTCGATCAGTGTCACGACACCTCTTCGCAGCTCGGCAGGCGGTACAAACGCTAAGAGGAGGAAGTGGGACAAGGAGAAGCACGGAGAGGGAGTAAAAAGAAGCAGGAGCGGCAACGAGAAGGAACACGACAGACGACGAGGAGAACAGCAGAGAATGAGGGAGGATTCTTTCCCCGCCTCCACCTCCACTGAAGATCTCGCTGCAAGGCGCTCCGGCCAGTACGCGCAAAGAAATCGAACCGTCGCTTTCGACGGACAGGGGCGGCAACACCGTGAGGCCAGGACGGCTCGGCCTTCCATGTCCCCTGCTCCGAGCAGGTGAGCAGGGACAGGCAAACTGCGCGGAGACAGGGGCCTGCGGCCAAGCCTCCCCCGCCCAGTACACAGGGAGGACGGCCTCCCCACGCGGGACAAAAGATAGACCCCATCCAGACACAAGAGAGGAGGGACTCGGGAACAAAGGACCCCGGAGAAGGGCGGGCGCCGCGGAGGCGCGCAAAGAACCCGAAATGAAATGCCGAACGCCTCGTCAGCGAAGCGTGCGGCGCTGCACCCAGGGCTCCCGACGGCTCCCGGGAGGCCAGGGCCTCCATGCCCTGGCCGGCGCAGGGCTGGAGGCAGGCGCGGCGGCACGAGAGCCTGCGGCTCGGCGCCGCCCTTCCCCGAAGAAGTGGAGGCGCGCTGGCTCCACAGAGAGGGGGTAAGCAAACCGTCGAGGAGGCAAAATGCGCAGGCTGGGCTCGCCGTGGCCCGCCCCGAAGCGAGATCAGTCGGCACCCGACTCCGGGACTGCTTCCTGGGGCTGGGACCCCTAGGCTTCTTCGAGTCTCGTGGAGATGGCCACAAGCTTCAACTGAGCTTCTGTAGAAGAGAAGCCAAAGCAGCTGAATTCTACGATCATTGTCCTCCTCGGGCAGGTCGGAAGCTGAGGCGTAGGACTTGTGGACGTCATATGTGTTGGCCGCAGGAGGTCGGACAACTGGAGCGTGCAAAAGACCTTGAGCTCGGGCCGCGTTGAGTGCTTGCCTCTGGCGACCACACTCCAGACCCAACTCACGAATTTAGGAACTCTTCCGCTGCATCGTTCCATCAAGTCTTCAAACATACCATGGTAACTGCAGCACGCACATCGGGTGCAATTTAGCATGACGTTATCGTCGCTACCCGTCAATGCGATGCAGACGTGATGCGGAATTGGAATTCCTTTGAGCGACAGGTCCCTGGCCCCTGAACAACCACTCCTGGGAGGACATTTAGGCCAAGCAGACCTAAAGACCCGAAGACAACGAAAATACTTCCATAAGTTTCCCATGTGCCGCCAGGTGTGCTGCAGGACGTCTGAAAGAGGAGCCTGATCAGGCTTGGCAGGTTCTACTTCAACGCGTTAGCGCAGAGGGGCGAAGAGGGGGAGGAGGTGCATGGCTAAGACACAAATCACTCAAGCATATTATTCGTGCTTTCCACGGGCCTCCTCAGCCTCGGGATCGGAAGGGTGTTTACTGAAAACATGATTCAGCTGCCATGACAGCATTGTCTTTGCCACGGCGCCAAGGGAGTGAGCAAGCAGCGGGACGGGGGGAAGGAGAGAGGAGGAGTGATGACGACGAGCGGGAGCAAGAAAGAGCAGGAGCTGGCGGAAGTCTGAAGCCTCGGCTTGCGGAAATGAACGGACGACCAAGAGCGGCGCACACGAACGAGACAAGGAGAAATCCGCCGATCCCCGCCTGCTGTGGGGGGTTGAAAGGCGTGTGAGACATTTGGCTGTCCCCGCCCTGCTGTCCCTTCCCCAGGGGTCCAAAATCCCGTTCTAGCATGGGGTGGGGGGCAGAGCTTACCAACGCACCCTGGTGGCTCTCTGGAGCCCCCAGAGAGCCCCAACACGGCCCAAGAGGACCCAAACAAAGCGCCGAGACAATCCAAGAGAGAGTCGAAAAGGACCAGGGTAACCCCGCGACGGTCCAAGGTGGCTTCAAGACAGCCCACGAAGCCCCCAGGACGGCCCAAGAGTGCTCCCACAGCGAGGGCGAAAAGACGCAAGAATCGCCCCAATCCCTTGGAAAAATCATGTTCTACATACCCGCCATGTTTCGGGACAGCATCCAAGACGGCCCCAAGGCGCCCCGATGATCGTCCCAGCCCATGAGGCCCCCAAGAGGACCCGAAGACGACCTAATACAGCACCGAGAAGGCCCAAGAGGGCCCCAAAAGGGCCCCAGGGGCCTAAGATTGAGGGCCCCCGAAAAAAACAAAGAGGAGCAATACGAACTAACATTTCGAGCCTTTCCCTCCGTCGTGGCCCCGACCCCCAGGGACCCCCGAGGCGGCACCAAGCGGCCCCAAAGAGACATCCAAGAGGCCTCTGAAAGGCCCCCAAGAGGCTTCAAAAAGCCAAGTAGATGCCGCCAAAAAACATCTAAGAGGCCCTTGAAAGTCCGCCGACCTCCCAGGGTTTACGGCGTGTGAGACTGTTGCCGTTCCCCACACCCTTCCCTGGGGGGGTCCGTCCACTCGGTTTGGAAAGGGGGGGGGCGTCAAGGGATGGCGGCCTCAACCGCCTCGAAGATGCTCCTGGACGCCTGCGTGGCTTCGACATCGCTCTTAGGGGTTCCTCGACGATCCCGAATGGCGCCCAGTCCCCCTAAGATGGCTTCGGGACGGCCCTCGGAGCCTCCAAGATGCCACCCGAGTGCTCCCAGAGGACCCCCCGCGAGGGGGGTCCCAAGCTGGCCTCCGAAGGGGCCAGACGGCGTTAGAGCGCCCCAAGAGGCCCCGAGAGGCCACCAAGAAGCACAAAGGGCCGCCAAGAAGCCTCCAGGAGGCCCCCAAGAAGTCCCCGAACGGCCCCAAGACACCACCAAGGGGCCCGCCGACCTGTATACGAATGGCGCACTGTTGCTCTGCTCATCGGAGTTTGAACTTGGCGTTGCCCTGTGCTGCCACGCGGTGAGTGCCCGCTGCCCTCGTGGACATTCGCACGATCGTCCCGGCGTTGAAACGGGGCGGGGCGCATCCGCCCCGCGTGGCACTGGCAGCGCCCCGGGGCGGGCAGAACGACAGGGCACAACTTCGCGGCAGACGAGCAGGGCAAGCCACCCAACGCCCAGTCTTTACGTGCTCTGGACGTGCACCCCGCGAAGCGAAAGGAATCCACGTCCAGGAGGAACGTGTTGCCGGAGGCAGGTCGCGGAGCGGAGCGGAAGCCCGAATGCAGCGTATCTCGCACATCCAACTACTGCATAATAGCTACATGTCACATGATATTGTCTGATTCTGAATTGTATTATAACCCACCCCAACGCCCCCCACCAAAGACACGCCACATCCACAGGCCCAAAGGTGGAGAAACCTTCCGGGGCTAAATCACATACAAGCACATATAGAAAATCTAAATTCCGTCATTCATCCCTCCGCCCTCCTCCTGCCCACCTCCTCCTCCTCCTCCTCCTCCTCCTCCTCCTCCTCCTCCTCCTCCTCCTCCTCCTCCTCCTCCTCCATCTCCCCCTCCT